TTTTTCAATCCCTTATCCCCGAACATACATCTTCAAGAAGGGACTCTAAACCTTCGGTTGCACAGAACTCGCCTCTTCTGGCATCTCATCTCTCGTAGTAACTTTGAGTTTCAATTATCATAATCTTCGTCTCATTTCTATTTCCTCATCTCTCGTCTCTTGGTCTCCTCATCTCGTCTATCTCCTCGTCTCTCTCTCTCTCTAATCTCTCTCTCTCTCTCGAGTTGTTATGCCTTTCCGGATCCAAAATAACTACTCCTCTTCTCTCAACCACTCCTCCTCAGTCTGTTCCTCCCATCCTCATTCATTCCAGCTTTGTTTCTGATTGGCGTCATTGATCTCGAACTCTTTTCATTTCCCTTTTTTTCCCCCCCCTTATTCTTGGTTACTAAGTCCTTACTCTTCCCAATATGTGAATCCGCACCTAATACAGATTAAATCTGGATTTTAAGTTGGAATGTAGGTGGCAAGTGAATATGGAAAGAACAATGTGGTTACACATTGCCTGAAGATAAGAGTACAAAATTGAAGATTAGAATTTACCACAACACAAGTTAATATTATATCTGCAAAGTGCAGAATAAATGATTTAATATAAACAAATAAATTTACAGTGTATAGAACCCTTTTACAACAATGTTGGTGGCAACCATTTTATCCATCAAAGTGCATTTTTTTTAGTCTTAATGGTTTGTAATTGGGGCTTTTGAACTGTTGCCTGAGAATACCCAGTTTGTCCAACGCTTCCAAAATTTTTGGAGTCCTTTAAGGGATTGCGAAAAAGGCTACTGCAGCAGTCCTTTAACCAGGGTAGCGTTAGTATGTTCCATCACGGTACACAAAGAGCAATAGCCAAGCAACAGCATTTGTTGACATAATAGCTTGGCATCGTTCAGCATCTAGTAAAAGAAAATCATATTAATCTTCCTAAAACTTGCTAATAAAGAATAGAAAAAAAGAAAGCACAAAATCTTGACAAATTACCAGCTTTATTGTTTACAAACAACACTCACCATATACAATATGCTGTGATAGTGCCTTAATCAGGGATCTATATTCTTCAGTAACTTCAGAGCCAAACAAGGAGGAGCTGCTGCGGGCTCCATGGAGATTGTTACATGAGCGATTGACGGCATTAATATTGCTGGAAGGATTGGAGGAGCTCCTCTTCAGTGATAGGTGATTATTTGTTGCCGGACTTGATAAGGATCTTTGGTGACCTTTTCCTGCGACTGAGAGGGAGGATGCATCTAATGGATGTGGAGGTAGAGTCTGTGGGCCTTCATCTGATGGTGGAGTAAGGCTCAGGGGACTAGGTGAGTTTGGAGGAGTGCAACCAAGAAGTGGCTGACTGTGAAGCTGATTGGCAGTCTTATTCTGGGGCTGACTAATGGTAAACTGAGGTATGACAATCTTGCTATTCTGGACAAACTCTCGCAGGCTAAATGGCTGTGCAAAGTCAATTCTTGCCTGACCATAATTAGTTGACAGCACTTTTATTATTGCCCTTACTGCTCCCCAGAATGATTCAGGGACCTGTGAACAGGATCAAAATTTTATTAAATGTATATGGATCTAGACTCCTACAATAGTCTTTTCCAACAAAAGAATTTCATTCACATGAATAACACACACAAACTTCTTTCTCATTTCTTACAATATACATATAAATCCTGTTCCTCAGCTTCCCTTCAACTTCTAAACATTCGAGAATTTTATAATTACCCAAGACAAGCCACTCCTATTCATATATTCCATAAAGATGACAAAAAATTAGCAATGATCCACAGGCAATCCCATTATTTTCTAAGGCTGTTTATTTTTATGACTACTTTGCATCACAGAAAATAAGAGGCAACATCAAAGTAATACTTGTAATTTTGAATATCAAATATACAATGCAAAGACTTGCAAAGAAAATGATAAACTCAAATAATGCAAAATTATGTTTACCTTGCTTTGTCCCATTTGCTCTCGGATGAAGTTTCCATCAAGCAGTTTGTCATAATTAATGGCAATAGGAACAATAAGAGCATCATCCAGAGTGCCATTCATATAAGCATCTACTATAACACTCAACAAACCCCCTGTAAAAGAAAAAAAATTATTTGTATAATCCCTTTCTACACATAAATGTTCTTGAAAATCGGGGTCATAGCCAGCTTCTGAATTCAGCAATACCTGTGCAACCAACTGCTGCAAATTCTTCTGAAAACTGATGAAAATTAATAATGTATATAAATCTGTATAAAAATCTGGAACTGTGATGACCATTATTCCCTCCCTTTTGGTCAAGCACATACAATTAAAAAATTACAGAAGTATGCCTCTGTCACAATCAGAGAAGTTCATCTCTGATCAGACCAGATTGGTTCCATTAAATGCAAAATCTAGAACTAAAGGTCATCCACGAACTTCAGTGTCCAACTGCTAGACTTTTAAGCCAATCTGATATTCCTATTATAAACAATTCATTAAATCCGACAAATGACAAGTTAACATGCTGTGCATCTGGCAACACAATCAGATAAGTCAATACAGTTACCCAGTTGGCAATGGGTACATGAATCGTTCATGGCAATTCTGTTTTGTGAATTTTCTTTACAAAGATGGTTCCATAAGCACTTTGCAAACAAGAAGCTAATTAGCAGGCCTATATGACCCCAGCTGATACACCCATTCCTTAAATTTTGTCAATTTTTTTTTTCTTCTTAATACTATAACTATTGTCAGTGTTGTCAATATCAATGTTACTGACATTATGATTATTGTAATGCTACTAAAACAGATTTTTTTTCTCCCACAAATCTAAGAAAACAGCAAACAGGTGAGGTTAGGTAAGCCTAGTTATTAACTCATTATATGTACATGCCCTCTTAGTCAATAAATTTGATCTAGAGACACTGCTGCTATAGCTTATCAAATAATAGCTATAGACCTTGGGAAATGGCATAAAAACAAAAAAAAAAAATTATGCAGTAAAAACACTGGAAAAGGGAGGCAAGTTGTTACTGTACAAGTGTTTATATGGACTGGGCCAACAAAATACTCAAGTAAGCCTAAGGTACAGATTTTGGTCCACATGTGGGCAGCAAGGCACCCAGATCCAACAGGTTAACCCGTTGCCGCCAGGTGGCAAGTACGTACATGCCATGGCTGTTTTGGACCAAACGCCGGAGGCATCATGTCATGCCCATTCCCGCGCTACTGACTCGTCGGATGGAAGTTGTTTTTCTCCGATAGTAGCGGCTTCATTTATATGGTAAAGATTTTAGGCAATGGCACCTATAATGAAGGTAAACCTTCAAAATTTCAATATTTTTATTAATTTTAACAAATAAAAGCTTTTAGATGCTATATGTCGCTCGCAAACTACCAATCGAGCTGGGCGCAAACAGGGGAAACTCATGGTGCACGCCAACAAGCCTGTGCATATGTCAACTTGCCATAATTTTTTACCTGTCGGTGATGGGTTAAGTTTCTAAAATACAAATTAACAAATTAGAACTATCATTATCTAGGAAAGAAAGAATTATCAATTCTTCTCATTCTTACCTTTTGGCATACAGGGTTTGCCTGTGCGAGTTCGACCTCCTTCAATAAAGAATTCCAAGTTATATCCTGCTTGCAATGCATGTGTCACATATGTCTGCAATACTGAGCGGTATACAATATCCTTCCGTGCCTTGCAGCTTTCAAGGCGACGCTTGATGAAGAATCCACCCAGGCCTCGGAGCAACCATCTGTTGGTGCACAAGAAAAAATCATTAGTTAGTACTAACCCATTGGCGCCGGGTGTCACGTACGTACATGCCATGGCTGTTGTGGACCAAACGCCGAGGGCATCATGCCATGCCCATTCCCGCGCTACTGGCTCGTCGGACAGAGGTTGTTTTTCTCCAGTAGTAGCGGCTTCATTTATATGGTACAGATTTTAGGCAATGGCACCTAAAGTGAAGGTAAACCTTCAAAATTTTAATATTTTTATAAATTTCAGCAAAATAAAAGCTTTTAGGTGCT